TAATAAATCAAAGAATTAAAATTTACAAATATTAAATCAACCTATAATCAAATCTATATTCGATAACATTAACTAATAAATATACTTCAAAAATTAAAATAATATGTTTAAATCAATCAAAAGATTAAAATCTATAAATAGTTTTGAATAATTAATAAAAATATTAATATTACAGATCACAACATATTTCTTAGTGAATCGTGACATTCTTGACGCAATCATATTTCTTATATATATTCATAATATTTTTAACTTTTAATTTATTTTTTATCGTAAGAATGCCTAAGGCCCCATCAACTTAAATTTGGTAACCTTTTAGGCGAAACCTAAAATGTTAATAGTATCTATAACATTTACCGGTTATAACTCATTTCTTACCATATATAACATTTTAGTGCAACATGTTATGTTACTCCAACTGATAATTTTTTCGATTATAATTTATAACATTTTGTGTTCCGCTTTTAACTTATTACATTTTTTTACCAGTCACACCGTTTATTGACCTTATTTTAGGTGCCTCACAATAGAACTTCCTGTTATATGCAACTTGTTTTGTACGAGGCATCTCCAACCAATTCTGAATATATTACAGGGTCGACATTGTTGCCCTATTCGACTAAGGAAGCAGAAGAAGAAATTCAAGCTAAGATAGAGGGACTACACCATGATATACTGTCAAGTCATATCAGATATCTAACGAATACGAAAACAAAAACTTTATTGGTGTACGGTTATCGACAACGATGGAGAAGAATTAATAGTATCAAATTAAAAATAATTTGTACAAATTATTTATTTTAAAATAAAATATTCTCTTTTAATCATTAAAAAGTGCCAATGTTGAAAATCACCTATATAATTATTATTACGAGATATATCCTGAGAATATTTTAAAATAATATAAAAATAATATAAATTTAAAAATATTAGTAAAATAATCTATATATTTGTAATATTTGATATTACATTCTAGAATTATCTATAAAAGATTCTCAACATTTCTAAAATTAATAGCTAAAATGTTGGCATGTATCAATAATCTAATGAACACTAAAATCTATAAATATGAGATGAGATTTATCATTGTTACTAGAGTAGTGAAGAGTGTATTCACCCTGAATTTTTAGTTGTGCTAATGATTTATCAAAATTTTATGTGATTAATTTATATGTGTCAGCCCTGAAAAATATTTCTGGATCTACCACTATTTCAGAGCAAGAAGAGCCTGTCTGATTTTATCTCGATTCAACACTTTTTACCATATTTTTTAGTTAATTACATCACACATTATCAAATTAGGGTAAAGAACACAAATGATCCTCCAACTATAAGATGTTGTTTTGTTGAGTTCTCTGACTATCAAAAGTTACAAAATAATTCATTGAATATAGGATGTTATTTTGTTAAGTCCCTAAACTATTAAAAATTATAAAATGGTCACCCGACTATTTATTATGTTTTAAATTTATCATTTTTGTTAAAAAATTTACAGTTGTCTGAGTTAGACGTTAACATGTTGATGTTGACTGAGATATGATAGTTGTTTGAGACTCTAAGATTAAATTTTATTATATCCCCAGCTCAAGATGCCGTCAATTTTTTAATGAAAAATTATATTTAAAACATAATGAATAGTTAAGTGACCATTTTGTAACTTTAATAGTTGATGGACTCAACAAAATAATATCCTATAGTTAAGAGATCATTTTGTAACTTTTAATAGTTGGAGACTCAACAAATCAAGATCTTATAGTTGAGATATCATTTATGTACTTTACCCATCAAATAATAACTCTTATTTTAAATTAATGTTTATTTTTTGAATGATTCAATTTTATCCCTTAAATATGACCTTTATTATAAACTATCCCTAAACTTTTGAATATTTACTTTTATTCTAAATTATTCTTAAATTTTTTAAACATTCTAATTCCATCCATAATTGACTTTTATCCTAAATTTTTAAACAATCTAATGTCATCCCTATATATGACTTTTGAATGTTTCTCTCAAAATTATTAGTATATATCAATTAAATATTCCCTTTATAAAATTATTATATAGACATTGATATGTACAATGTAATAATAATATTTTAATAGTTTAGAACTCTTAACATTAATTTATATCACATCACATTATTATACAGTTTATAAAATAATTAATAAGTTTTAGAATTATTTTATTAAGAGTCTTAATTAATATATACTAATAATTTAAAGAAAATTTAGAAAATTTAGAAAATAATGTAAAATAAGAGTTGATGAAATTAAAATATTCAAAAATTTCAAAATCAATTTGGATAAATAAAAACATTAAAAGTTGAATTTTAAATGAGAATCTTAATTTAATAATTTAAGATGCAATTAAAATCCATTTTTATTAACAATTTGGAGGTAAATTTGGAGGTAAACTAATATTTTATGAGAAGCGATAAATTATATTATTTCATCGAGGTGCACATCGCATGCTGTAATATACCATTAAAGTGATGTATCGAAACATACCACTAATTAAATTATTATTGTTAATTAAATATTAAAATGATAAATTATACATTTAATATTTACACTATCATTTTTATTTCGTTTTAGTACCTAAATTTTATTTTTTTCAAAACCATTAACGAGATTGTAATGTGGCATAACATGTTAATTTTTTATTTTTTTAATTTCAACATCATTTTTTTTTATTTTTCCACCATAATTTTTTAATTAATTTTATTCAACCAATTAAATGTGGACACATTTCACCAATTATGAGAATGAAATAAAAAAAACTATTTTTGCTATGAGCATGAATTGAACCTAAGTTTTTACATGAAATGCAAGGCACTTAACCATTGAATTAAACTAATCATTTATATTAATTTATCATATTTTTTATTTAATTTATATTATAACATCACTACAAAATCAATATTTTCTGATGATTATAAAATTCAAATATGTGACATTTTAAATTAATAATCGAAAGTTTAGTCATTCAATTATAATGCGAATATATTTTTATTATATCAAACTTAATATTTACTTGTATCATTATTAAATTGAAGAATAATTTTTCACTTTATATAGAAATAAAAAAATAAAAAATAATTACTTTTATGTATTTATAAAATTTATATTGAAGTATTCTAAAATTAAAAAAAATAACAAAACAAAACAAAGAAATACTCATAAGAAAACTCCAAGTAGCTGATTTTTTAGGGTAAAATATAGTAATGGTCACTTAACTTTTCTAAAGCTTTCATTTAGGTCCCTCAACTTTTAAAACTTGCAATATAATCTCTCAACATTTAGTCCGTTTGCAATATGGTCCCTCAACATTTAGTCCATTTGCAATATGGTCCCAGACGTAACTGTTGGGGGACCATATTGCAAACAGACTAAATGTTAGGGGATTGTATTACAAGTTTTAAAAGTTGAGAGATCTAAATGAAAGCTTTTAAAAAATTCAGTGACCATTAATATACTTTACCCTTATTCTTAATTACCTTTGCACCGTTCAACCCATCTCTAATCCGGCGACGAAACAGGGGCGACGATCTTTAAGCCCTTCCTTGAACGACGATGTTTTGGGACTAATAGTTTTCAGAGGAGACGTTCAAGACCCAAGCCAAAAGCTTTCATCTTGGAACGAAGACGATGACACTCCTTGTAACTGGATTGGTGTGAAATGTAACTCAAGGTCGAACAGTGTTACCGAGCTCAACCTAAACGGTTCTCTCTTTCGGGTCGGATCGGCAACTCAAGTTCTTGAGGAAGCTTTCCTTAGCGAGGAACAATCTCAGTGGAAATATAAGCCTCGACTTGGCAAAGCTTGAAAGTATAAGAATCATTGATTTGAGTGAGAATTACCTTTCGGGTTTTGTCTCTGATGATTTTTTTTCAAGCAATGTGGGTCTGGGAGGTCCATTTTGTTGGCTAGTAATCGGTTATCGGGTAAGATTCCTTCGAGTTTAGGCTCTTGTGTTACACTTGCTGCTGTTAACTTGTCATGGAACCAGTTTTTAGGGTCTTTGCCTGGTGGGATTTGGGTTTGAGTGGTTTAAGGTCATTGGATTTGCCTGCCAACTTGTTGGAAGGTGAAATTCCACAAGGGATTGAAGCTTTGAACAATTTGAGATCCATTAATTTAAGAAAAATAGGTTCACTGGGCAGATTCCTGATGGGATTGGGAGTTGTTTATTGTTGAAATCAATTGATTTCAGCATGAATTTACTTTCTGGGTCAGTTCCACACACAATGCAAAAGCTTAGCCTTTGTAGTTATCTTAATTTGAGTACGAATTCATTTGGCGGAGAGGTTCCTGGATGGATAGGATATTTGTAAAGTCTTGAGACTTTGGATTTCTGTGAATAATTTTTCCTGTGAGATTTCTCTGCTAATAGTTTAATTGGAAGCTTGCCTCAGTCTATGGGAAGCAATGTGAATCTTCTCGCGTTGGACTTTAGCAAGAATTCGATGAGCGGTGATCTTCCTGGATGGATTTTCAAGACTGGTTCGAGTCAAGTATCACTTTCGGAGAACAAGCTTGGTGCAAAGTTGAGTAGTCCAATTTTAGCTTCACAAAGAACTTCGCTTCAAAAGATTCAAGTCTTGGATTTATCTCACAATTCGTTTTCGGGAGAGATAATGAATGGTATTGGGGCTTTAACCAGCTTGCAGTTCTTGAATCTGTCGAGGAACTCCATCGTCGCCCCTGTTTCGTCGCCGGATTAGGGATGGGGTCTGCGGTGAAGGGGGAATTAAGAAAAAATCATATTAAAAAGGGTAAAGTATAGTAATGGTCACTTAACTTTTCTAAATATTTAATTTAGGTCTCCAAACTTTTAAAACTTACAATATAATCCCCAACATTTATTCGGTTTAGAGACCTAAATGAAAGTTTTAGAAAAGTTCAGTGACCATTACTATACTTTACCCTTTCTTTATTTAAAAAAAGCCAATACATGTGCTTCGATCTCTGTCTTTCGTAGAACAGACTGCAAAAATACTTATACCCATCATCCCACCCAAAAATAAAGAGGTGAAATTGTTTCTTCTCGAAGAAATAAAAAACTAAAACAGCGATTCTAGCATCTTCCGCTTCGAACCGACGCCGTCAGGTACTTCGATTTCCATAAATGCTCTCCTCAGTTTCCCAGATCTGAATTTAACTTTGTATGATTTTGGATGGCTACCTGAATCCTCTGATAAAAAACGGTAGAATTTAGGGTTCTAAGTTGTAATTTAGCTTTCCCCCAATTTAGGGTTAGGGTTTGATTGTTTATTAGCAGAATATGATGGAGAAAATTTTGTTTTACACGTTGTTATTGAACCTGGGTCTGATTGTTTGTGAAACATATAGATTTTGGATTTATATTTTATTCTCGATTTTATTATTTTTGTTTAAAAATAATGAAATTAAAAATATAATGATAAAATTCAATAAAATCTTAATGTTAAGTATAGTATATTGACAAATTTACTTTTGATTTACAATATATCATGATAAAATTTTCAACATTCAAGTATGTGAGAAGATTATGATAAAAAATGTTAGAAGATGAAGAGATACTCAACATGAAGCTTAAATGTAATAATTTCATGTGGGGGTTAAAACTCTTATGAGTCAACATTTAACAGGATAGAATTAACATAAAGTTGAATCGAACTCATTTGAACATAAAATTTCATGATTTCAAAGTCTGTTCTTTCTTTTTGTCATTAAAACAGAACTTGCTAGAATTGAGAAACTGTAAAAGCATAAGAAAAACTGATTAGTCACATTTTAGCCGTATGGTATGTAGCTCTTGTGTTTCAAGTAAAACTGAACATTTTGCTGAACTTTTAACTGCTTGAAAAATGGTTCGATTGATCCGAGCAGTAGAACAGAACATTTTGCCAAATTGTTCAGCCATGAGAGAAATGGTTCCTATTATCGAAGCAAAAGCAGAACTGAAAGTGAACATTTTGTTGGACTGATTAGCTCTCTGTCAAGAAGGGTCTAGTATTTACCTATTATACGGAACAAAAGGAATCTCTTGAATGAACTGACTTTTGAGTTCTGACTTTTCCACCTATCATTTAATACCCATTCATAGAATTATGAAGCCATTGTTTAAGAATTGCAGTGTTGTTTCATTTTAGAGGGAATTTTTATACATTGACAGGAATTTTTCACCTTTACTTGCGGGTCGCATGCCTTCATTTTCTACTTTTTAATTTTTAATACACGCTTTGTAGACACTTCATTTTTTTCTCTGGGTAACAAAAAAACAATATCTACCTGTTTTCTTCTTTAATGGTCTTTTTTGTATTATATTTAATTAAGTCCATTTTCTATGCACTGTTGAAGGAATTTTAAATTTCAATTCACGGGATTAAGAAACTAACCCTTTTTTCTTCCTTATATTGTTTTTTTAGTATCTTCAAATTTACTGGTGAAATTTGACTGTGTTAGAGATAATTCTATCTAGATGGTACAAAAGTATGTAGTCCAATCATTGAAAAAGATAAAAGTACCCAAACAAACCAAATAACTTGAGGTTCTTATTGATGAATATATTGCAGTTCATGGACAAGGAGATAATGGACTTAACATCATCTTCTTCACCTCCCCAAAATTCCAACAACGATCACACCAATCTGATTAATCACCCACAAAATGAAGATATTCACAATCAAGGCTCTGGGTTTACTGCTGGTAACAATGGGATTAATAACAAGGAAGAGATCGTTCCTTGCTATGATTTCCAACCAATCCGACATGTTTCAGCTAGCCTTGATGCCCCTGCAATCAATAATAATCCCAAGTCTTGGAGTTTGATCGATTCTAAAATTAAGGTAAATCTTCAGCCTTTCATTTTTCTGCCTTTTTGTTGATCAGTAGCGGATATGATTTTTTTCTCTCTAGATATTTATATTTTTTGAATTGATTCAACTAAAATTTAAAGTTGGATTTTTTAATTGTTTTTGGGGTTTATTCAGTGAAATGTAGTTTAATTTATGAACTTATGGACCTGGTGTTAATTTTTTGGCAGTTAAACTTACTATGTTTTACTTGGATTCTTTAAAAATAGTTTTCGGCAATGAAATGTAGTTTGAATTATAAATCTTACAGATCTGGAGTTAATTTTTTGATTGTTAACCTCGCTAAATATATGGGTTTTTGTGATTACATTTTTTTCTCATTATAGTTAGATTAGTGAACTTTTGTTGGTATCATAGTTACAAGATTCAGTTGGGTTTCTTCAACTGCATTGCTATTGACTTTTTCCCGCTGTGGACAGAAGTATGGTTCTCTTGACTCACTTGAACCTGTAAAAGACATTCAAGAAAAGGACCAAAAAGCTGTTGACACGTCATTAGTGGCTGCAATTGATCAAACCTTGAAGAAACATACTGATAATTTGATGCACATGTTAGAAGGTGTTGGTGCCCGACTCACACAGCTGGAGAGTAGAACCAGTAACCTCGAGACCTCTGTGGATGATTTGAAGTTGTCTATAGGAAACAATCATGAAAGCACTGATGGGAAAATGAGATTGCTAGAGAATATTTTAAAAGAGGTACATTCTAAAATATATTCTTCCTTGGTATTTGGCTGCCATTTGTATATGAAAGAAGAATTAGATGTGCAAATCTAGCTTGTGATTTTTCATCACACTTACGGAATTTTGCAAGGAGTAATTTTCTAGCAGCATGTGAAAATTCGAGTTACTTGCAAGGATATTTGCTCGTGTTGCATTGTTAAAGGACTGAATTTTGTTGTCTTTATTGGGATTTTTTGTTGGGTTCTAATGCTTGTTCTCGTATTTTGATCACCGTCTTGTGTGATTATTTTATGTTTTTTGTCAACCATGTGCAGGTGCAGGCAGAGGTGCATATTGTAAAAGAAAATCAAGGGAGTTTAGAAGCTCTTGTACAGCTTCCTAAGCCACAGTTGTCCAAGAGAGACCTGCCATCAGAAACTCACAGCACTCCACATATGGATTCCTTGCAACAAGCTGCATCTGCTCCTTTTCAGTCTCACCAACAGCTTCCTCCGGCTGCTGCTTTTCCACAATCACTTTTGTCTACGCCACCCCCTCCACCACCTACTGTTCCTCAAGCTGTTCCCCAGCGAAATCTGCCTCCTACAGTCCAGCACCCTGACCAATTCCCACCGCACCAAATTCCTTCTGTCCCTCAACGAGATGCTTACTATCCACCACCTGGCCAACCTCAGGAGACTTCAAGACAGCAATTCCCGATGCCTCCTACTCATCAAGTTCCTTCTGTCCCTCAGCGAGATGCTTACTACCCACCTGCCCAAACACAGGAGACTCCAAGTCAACAATTCCCCATGCCTCCTGCTCAGCAGCCACAGCACTCTCCTGCAGCACTGCCTAATCAGCCATATCAACCAGCCCCTCCACCTCACTACTCTCAACCACCACAGCCCCTTCAAGTCCAACCTACCATAGGCCACCATCCCGAAGAGGCATCTTATGTTCCTTCTCAGACGTATCCACAAAACGTACACCAGCCACCCTCCCAACCACCCAGTGGCCCTCCTTCCTCCCAACAGTATTTTGGGATTCCATCTCAAATGCATGAGCCACCGTCCAGAAGGCCTGGTCCCGGGTTTTCAACTGGATATATCCCACAATCTGGGGCAAGTGAACCATATGGTTATGGTGGATCATCTCCACAATACAGAAGCTCCCCAATGAAAATGCCGCAGCTCCCATCATCTACCGGAAGTGGTTATCCACAGTTTTCGACAGCTAGGGTACTACCACATGCATTGCCCACTGCCTCCGGTGTTGGTGGTGGACCAACTCCATCTGGACCTGGAAACAGGGTTCCCATTGATGACATTGTCGACAAAGTGACCAGCATGGGTTTTCCTAGGGATCTTGCTAGAGAGACTGTTAGAAAATTAACTGAGAATGGGCAGGCAGTTGACCTCAATGCGGTGTTGGATAAGCTAATGAATGATGGTGACTTACAGCCACCGAGAGGTTGGTCTGGGAGGTAAACCGTGTATCATTGATTCATGTTCATGTATAGGAATGATCATTGCTTCTGAACTCTGATTGAACTCATTTGCAGCTTAGGGAGGTAAACCAGGAATCATTGATTCATGTTCCTCCCACTTTTCACAATTTTCTTCTTATTTGACTGTCGAGTTTCTTTTGTTTTTTTTTTCTCTTTTCACATTTGTGTATTCTTGCAATAATATGAATTATTTTGTCGAGTTTTCATTTCGTTAACATTTTTGAACAAAAATACGGAATAAGTTCCAAGAAATGCTAATCGAATTCAAACTGACATGGAATTTGACCTTAGATGGAAATGAGAATTTATTTTAACTAAGTTGGCTTGGCGCAAAATCAGTATATTTATGAATTAAAATATCTTTTTGGAACGAGAGTGTGATGCCAAAGCCAGTTTATCAGCCCCTTAAACGTTTTTGAGGAGGATCATTGACATCTCTAAATAAAATAGGAATCAAAGAGACCGGTGGTTGATCTAAAACAGGAAAAAGAAGAAACTCATCTTGTGGAGCAACAAACTTTGCCTTGTAGTTTGCAGCTTGATTTGCCTCTCGACGAATTAACTGGAAATCAGCACTCCATGCATTGTTGCAAAGGACAGCAACAGACCATACCGAGTTGTAAGGATTTGCCAATGGAGGTGAAAGTAGTTTATGCACTGTCCATTTGAATGACGACTTTCTCATATTCATTTGTCCAAGCGAGCTTCAAATCTTCGAAAACACCCCAAATTTCGGCTTAAAGAACTGAAGATGGTCCCAACTGTCTTTGAAAACCGATAGGAAATTCCCTTCGTGATCTCGGAATAAATCACCAGCCGAACCCAAGTTTGTGGAGTGAGACACAGATCCATCCGTATTGATGCAAACTTCTCCATGGATTGGAGGTGTCCACTGGATTAGCCCCTCGGTCGGGGTTCCAATGTCCGCTTCAGATTCAGCAGGTGCTGCATAATACTTCGCTCAGGTGGAGCTAGTGTGCTGCAAAGACGGAAGGTCGGTGCTAGTACCTTGAAATAGCAGAACGTTGCGTCCCTTCCATGTTTGCCAAACGATCGACGAGAACAGGATATTCCATGAACACTCAAATATCCTGAAAAGTTTAAATTTGTCAAAAGCCAATCTGCAAGGGGGAGATTAAAAAAGTCATCATGGGTGGAATTGAGACAAAGAGGATCGCAACGCACGAGCCACAGTGCAATCACGAAGAATACGCAATGTGGTTTCATCTGGAGCTTCACAAAAATTGCGAGTTGAATTTTGGCTCAACACTCGACGGCATATGTTATGATTAGAAAGAATTTTATCTTTCATTACAAGCCATAAAAAACCACGGACACGTTCGGGGACAAACGATTTCCAAATGAGTTTCCGCGCTGATCAATATCATTCCAAAGAGTTGAGAGTAGAAAATTATAAGCACTCTATGTGGAAATTTTTTCTATTGGAGCCATCCTTCCAGTAGCAACAATCCGGTCCAAGATCAACATTAGGAGGTTCAATATTATGAAAATATGGGATGGCCAGAGGAGAAAGCATTTGATGGAGGATCAACCAATTCCACGAGCCGTCGTTAGAGACAAAATTTCGAACCATAAGATCATTTTGTTGCTGATTCCTGGTTTAGCGTAACGATGGAGAGGACCAAGATTCGGGATCCAATTATCGTTCCAAAAATTAATCGACTCCCCATTCCCTACTGGCCATGCTAAGTTTGCATGGAATTCCGACCATATTCCAGCAAGCGAGCACCAAAAAGGAGAGCTGTTTGCGTCAGCAATGGAAGTCGGGCAAAGTGTCTTCATTTTGTACTTCTCTTCGAGTCAATGAACCCAAAGAGCATCAGGGATTAGACGAGAGCATTACATATTTTCACGAGGAAAACGGTGTTCGTACCTCTTATGCTGCGAATTAAAATATCTTATTTAAATGTAATAATAACATTAAATATAAATGTAATATTAAAAGATTTTAGAATTAATATATGGTAATATATGTTTAAAAAATTATAATTTTATTAATAACACATATTTTGTAGACGTAACTCTTCGAATCTATTTTTCGAGGGAACAATGTACACTTTCACCACCAAAGATGCTCACTAAGTTCATAAATGGATAAGTTTAAATGGTTGATTAGAATTCATGCTCAAGGAGCAAAGAAAATAGTTATAGTGGGTTTTTTTGTAATTTAGTTACCGACTTTGATGCATTAACCGATTGCCGAATATCTATTACGGAACTGGTTTTTACTTAATATTTGAGTTGGAGCTGAATGTTATTTTCTAGGATTGAAATTTTACTGGTGTGGCTTATTAAAATTATTTTTTTCCATCGCGTGCTCAAGCTCGAAAAATGGTGTATTATTTGGTTAAGTTGTTCTTTTTGAGGTTTTGGTAAGGTTAATTCTGCTTGCTAGTTTAATAACTGAGGACCACGTCAATCTTCAAAATGGTGTTGGAGTTTACTTGTTTATAGATTTAACTCGTATAACTTTTAGATTTCTGCTTGTTGAACCATTATTAGTGTAATGCATGCTTGGTTACATGTAGGAGCTCTTAAGCGTCGCTGCATAATCTCTTGCTATGGACACTACAGTTCTAATTTTCTAATGGTTTTAATAGATTATATTCAGTTGCCTACGATGCTTTTGATCCATTCATGTAAAAGTACTTAACATCTGTGAATCTAATTTGCATTTTGCTTAAATTGTTTTCTTCAATACTGTTTTTTTTTTCAGGCCAACAAATTGCTGTTTTATGTTGTTATTACCTACCTGAACTCTTTTTCCATTCTTAGGTTTTCTTCAAATTGCTTCTCAAGTTGTTTGACTGCTGCATCTGGGTAGCATTTATAGCTTTGCATGCGGTAAAAGAACACAGGTTTAATGATGCAATGGAACTGAAAGTTTCTTCACCTACACTTGGTGGTAGTTCTCCTGATTGCTTTAGTGATCCAGCAGGAGAAAGAGGGAAGTGATGAGGATGATCGCAACCATAAGCCTCGCAGGCGGGATAGGCACCCTCAATCATTAGAGAGAGATTCTGTAGATCCACTATTTACAAGACCAAAGAGAAAGCACAAGAAACCTTTTGAAAATGGGTATCCTGTCAGAGAAAATGAACCTCAAGCAGATGAAGCCTGGAAAAATTGTAATGGTTTGCCTCCAGAAAATGACTTACAACTAAGTTTGATAGAAGACACCCTAGATTTGCATCAATTCCCTGAGGAAATTTGGATCAAAACCAGAGAATTAGGTCAAACCAAACATTCAATGGAGATTCTGGTCCTGGTAGGGGAAGAGAAAGAGATAACACTTCCTGGAATCAACATGACTCAAGGTTCAACTTGGTTGATATGGCTTCTCAAATGGTTCACCCAGGTTCAGTTGCTCCAAGTTTCTTCACAGGAAGGGGATTGCCAAATGTTTCAAGTGCACAAAGCCCATCATGGAGTGTCTTTGGGCTTATGCCGGGAATATCGAATGGTAGCCTAGATGCACTCCATCCTCTTGGTTTACAAGGGGTTCTCAGGCCACCTACAAATTCTTCGTTGAATAGGGGCATTCCTCTCCAACGTTGTAAAGACTTTGAGGAGTGTGGATTTTGTCTAAGAGGAGATATGTGCCCAATGGAGCATGGTGTCAATCGTATCATTGTTGAAGATGTTCAGGTTGTTGCGAAAGACGGCTATCGGATAGAGTAAAATCTCAATTGATAATTTGAGAAAATAAAAAATGAAGATAAAGAAGATACAAATTTTACGTGGAAAACCCCTAAATAATATATGGTAAAAATCACGGGCAACGGTATAAGAATTTCACTATGAGAAAATAGGAATTACAACTTCTCTCTATTTACCAAGGAGAAAACAACTCTTAAGAAACTTTCTAAATTCTCTAAATTCTCAAGTATTGGAGAAAGCTAGAATGATTTGGGATGGTTTTGAAGCTAAATGAGCTAAGGTATTTATAGTTGAAGCTTAAGGACTAATTTGTAAATACCCTGAATTATAATGACTAAAATTTAGTATTTTACCATTTTTTTCAACAAAATCTGCACTTTTCGGTGCCCTTTTTTAAATTCATTTACTTCTTTTGTTTTCTCATGTACTTTCGGTGCATGTGCCTCAATTTTCAACAATCTCCCACTTGAAGATTTGATTTGAACAATCATATTTTCACACCATTCTTTCTACTTTGTACCATCATGTTGCTTACGTTTCTGACAGGCCACAAGAGGATCGACACCAAGTAAATTTATCAGCATTGATTGCCTTCATCATGAAATCTTCTATGTTGTCTTTGGTATGGATCTTATGCATATCTATCGTTCATTCTTTCACCTTTTCACGAATGAAATGGTACTGAACTCGTATGTGCTTTGTCCTTGAATGAAATGTTGGATTCCTTGCTAAATGCAAGGCGCTTTGACTGTCACAAAACAAAGTGACATACTCTTGATTGTGCCCAAGCTCCTCCAATAGCATCTTCAACCAAATTGCTTCTTTACTGGCTTGTGTAGCTGCTACATATTCTGCCTCTGTTGTGGATGTAACCACAACTGACTACAATTTTGAAACCCAGCTTACAGCTCCACCAGCAATTTTAAACACATATCTTGTAGTAGATTTGTTTTTATCCAAATCCCCTGCATAGTCAGAATTAACATACCCATTGATAAGTAAGTTTGATCCTCCGTAACATAATGCAACATTTGAGGTCCCTTTGATGTATCTCAGGATCCTCTTTACTGTATTCCAATGCTCTTTGTCTGGATTCGCCATGTACCGACTAACCACTCTCACTGCTTGTGCAATGTCTGGTCTTGTGCATATCATAGCGAACATTAAACTTCCCACTGTTGATGCATACGGTACTCGAGACATCTTCATCCTATCTTCTTCACTACTAGGACTCATACTGGAAGATAATTTGAAGTTAATAGGAAGATGGGTAGAAATTGACTTATAATCTTGCATGTTGAATCGTGACAAGATCTTCTTCAAGTAATTCTTTTGTGAAAGCCAAATCTTCCTATTACTTTTGTCTCGGTGAATTTGCATCCCTAGAATCTTGTTTGTTGATCCCAAGTCTTTCATTTCAAATTCCCTAGCCAG